TGTGTGTGTGTGTGTGTGTGTGTGTGTGTGTGTGTGTGTGTGTGTGTTCCAGTGCTGATAACTGTATGTGTTCAGGCCTCTATGGAAGATAATAAACCAAACTACAGAGCACGAAACAACTTCAGACTTTAATCAGCCAGCGAGTCCACATCTGAGAGTTCAGAGACAAAAGTATAGGTGCAGCATTCGTTTGATGTCTAGAATCGTGATTTGCTTGCGCTCAGTCAGAAACCAGATCACACTCATTTCCTGCAGCTTCACAAGCACTTTTTAAAACCCCAAACTAGAAACTGTGAAACAACGAGTCTACAGAAAATAAACTGGCATGTCCTTGAATGTGTTGTCGTCTCTCTTCATTGAACTGAATTGAATGTCCCTCCAGGTGAGTCTGGACGCCCGGGTTCGAGAGGTGATCAACAGGAAGATGCAGGACCCGACAACTCAGTCGTTCGAAGACGCCCAGCTACAGATCTACACGTTGATGCACAGGGACTCCTACCCACGATTCCTCTCCTCCAGCATCTACAAGTCGCTCCTTCACGGCGGCTCGCGTACCTCCTCTGAATCCTAGTCCCACACCTCCTCCCCATCTTCTGATCCTGCAGTTACAGGATCGATGCCAGACCATTTCATCGCAGATCCAGCACAAAACTTTCCAAAAATGATCAGACAACTCCTCGCCTCCTCAGTTCACTTCTGAGAATCTCAAATCTCTCCCGATTACTGCCAAGACTTTCTTCTCATTTCTCCTTTTTTGTTTCTTCTCCATATCCTCAACTTTTGGTATTGTTGCCAAGACCTCCTGTCCTCCTCTCAGCTTTCGTCTCCAGTTGACTCCTCTCTTCTTTATTTCTATTCTTGTTGCTTTGTTCTCATTAAATCTTCTTTTTCGCAATCTGATCCTTTTCTTCATTCTTCCATTCTTTTTCACTAGTAATACCAGTATTTGCCAGGTAATAGTTGCCATAAAACGTTAAGTTTGATTGGAAAGAATTTAATTTAAACAATATCTTAACTATTTTTACTTAAAAACTTAATTTTCATTTTTATTGTCAGGATGGAAAATAATCTGTAAGAGTAGGCCAATATTGGTTTTTAAAATAAACTCCCTTACACCCTAACAAGCAAACGCTTTGGATTAGTTTGACAGGGTCAAACAAGGGTCCACTTACTATCTTTTTTCTACAGCTTTCAACTTAATCTCACAGTCTTCCTCAGTGGATGGGGTTTGCACAATCTGAGAGGTCTGAGCAAACACTTTCTGGAAGGATGTGGTCCAAAGGTCTGGAAAAAACTAAGTAAGTGGACCTTGAGTAAGACTACAGCCTGAACAGTATTGGATTGTTGTCTCTGATATTGATATTTAACGCTTAAAATTAAAAAACATTTAGGCTTCCATCTATTCCTGTCGACTCCTAAAGCTGCTGAACACTTCAATCCTTCTATCCTTTCAACCAATTTCCTACCTTAGAACCTCTTCTTCTCCCTCGTCACCTCAACAACTCCTAAACAGAGAAGGAAGCCGTCTGGATGTTGAAGTATTTCAGAGGGATATTATTTACTTGGGAGATTTTAATGCATTTAGTATTTAAGTATTCACCTTTGTCATGGACTCGTATTGGATTTTTACTAATTTGCCCCTCAGTTGTCCAATGACATCCGCCCACCTCATCACCTCGTTTTTCATCCTGCAGTTCTCTACTTTGAGAATGATGGAAAGGAAAAAGATGGATGCTGTCACATTCCTTCTCTTTCGCTCTTTCTTCTCTCTCTTTCAACTGGAAAACACCGGGTGCTCCCTCCATCCCCTGCTACGAACCACAACATTTTTTGTTCTTTATTTATCCACTCTTTTTTGCTGGATCAATCATTTCACTCCTGTGATAAACAAACGGACAAATGGATGGATGACACTTCCTTCCGACTACTGATTTACAAACAGACAATACGTCTATTTTTTAAGAGAAAACTATATGGAACATTTTAATTATGTTGATTGTTCTTGGTTTTGTTTATTTGGTTTGTCCCACTCTCTCCCCTTCCTGGATTTTTTTGCAAGAGACTGTACTGATCCCCACCCGACGCAACACCACAGACACCACTGATGCAATAAACACTGGAGTTTGGAAAAACATTCTAACGCTTGCACACATTTACAAAAATTGTTACTATACAATTGGTTAATTCATTTTTGAATAATTGATAAGCAGATCAAATGTGAAAATTGGCTTTTTGATATTCTATATTATTGTAGATTTAATATAACTTTGCCATTTGGTCCGATAGACAGCATGAGGAAAAACTATCTCTCGGCTCTTGGAAGTTGTGAAAGTCCAGGAAGTCCCATAGGAAATCGCAGGGAAGAGGTTGGAGTCGGGGGTCGCCAAAGAGCAAAATTGAAAACTGCAGTTTTATTGTTCAGGAAGGACCAAAGAAGATGAAATGGAAATCATAGTTGTCCTATTAAGTATAGTAATACAATTCTACACACATTGTACACACACCAGGGTGGCCTACCTGGGCACTGCTGCTGCTGACCTCTCACCTTTGACCTCACCACCCACTCGGACGCCTGCTCCCGATTGGCTGCAGGAGGTTGTTGGGCTGAACTCTGGTTGGTCAATTCAGGAAGGGGGGTGGGAGGAAATCCCAGGTGCAACAAAAATATATATAGATATATTAATGAAAAAACAATTTCTAAAAATGATATATAGAAAAAAAAGATGTTATGTGAGATGGGATGCTTACACGCAGTGCTTTGTGGGAAATGTAGTTTGAAGAAAACAAATGTTTGTAGTTGTCTGCAGAGGCCGGATCAACAGAAGAAGAGCTCGTAACCAGACAAGTCGCTCAGAATGCATTCATCTTAGTATTGTTAATGTTATTTATTTTATATTTTGTTAAAACTGTGATTTTAATTGTATATATATATAAACGGAAACCCTTGACCATCCAATGAGAAGCAGCTTCGTTTGTTCAGTGTTTGTGAGTAAGTGAATGCATTTCCTCACAGTATGAGTCTCGTCAGTACTCGTGGCTTTGCTGGGAATCAGGCCCTCACATTGCCACCTTCACTTCTTTGATATGATAAATGATTTATAAAATATAGATTTTTTCCAGATCAGCATGAAGTTAGAGGAAGAATAATTATGTTGTTTTACGACTCTGGTCATATTTTTACAGCCCAATCGATACTGGATTTTTGACTTGGGAGCTTAAAAGATCTGATGAAGATATGTCAGCCGATGCAGTAAATGCACAACATAAACAATCTGTTTCAATAGACGAGGGTTCTAAACAGCCACTTTAAGTGAAAATGCAGTTTGAAAGTGAACATGAACTGAGCAGAAACAGACATAGCTGTTTACTCTGTGTTGATACTCCCAACACTCAGTTCCTAAAGGAAACCAACACACACACACACACACACCCTACCTGTGAACCAGTCCATTTGTAGTGTGTGTGTGTGTGGGTGTCTGGTCTTTTTCCACAGTTTACTGTAACTTGATATGTTTGTGTTTTGGAGTAATTCCCTGTGTGACACACACACACACACACACACACACACACACACTGCCTCATGCCTCCATATTCTCACACAAACACACACTCACTGCCAATTCTTTATCTGTCCATCAATGTTTCTTTCCCAGCACTCCGCTCTAGTTTTCTGTTGATGAACACTGACAATCTTCACTTCTCCTGCTTATCACTTTTAGAGCCGTGTGTTCTAGTCAACGAGCAGATGGCTCTCTTTTTCTTTCTTTGCTGCTTCAAAGTCACACCAAACTTTAATATGTTGTTACTCTAATATGCAACAAGTAGGGCTGTGTATTGGCAAGAATCTGGCGACACGACACAAATCGTCATACAGGGGTTACGATTCAATATATTGAGATAAGTAAGTCAATATATTGCAACTTTTAAAAATCGAATTGTAGGAACACAGCAAAATATGCATAAAGTTGAAAAAACTTGTACTTGTTTTAAATGCAATCAGAACAATGGGGTCTTCATTCCCACGAATACTTTTAGTGCATCCGTCTGCAACACATCTTTCAGGTCTGTGTTCTTGCAAAACTACATACAAATAACTAAGATTTTTTCTAATTATAAGTAAAATAGAAGCTGTGTCCCAGTTGTTTTAGTTTGACTTTCGTTGCACGTTAAAAGCAGTTGTTGCCATTTAACTCCCAGTTTAACCTGAAGAATCTTTTGATCAAAGCCCGGCAGGTCAGCTGAACTTGCCACAATGCAAAAGTCAACATGAAAAATAAAGTTCCAAATAAATAATGAAAGACTTATTACACTCTCAGAGTGTGACGCACAGGAACAAATAAACCTGATCAAGTGAAAGATGAGGCAAAATGTTTTAATTCTCTGTCGAGCACTTTTAGTAGTCGTACTAAACTGGACCTTTATTCAAAAAAGTCACACAAAAACATCAGAAATAGGGTCCAAGTGGAAATATACCATTTACCCATTTAATATTTAACCAAAATGTTCCTTTACATTTTTAGTCAAAATAGCTGTGACTTTGTCTTTTGGATGATTCCTTATCCAGTCATGCCGTAAACCAAACATGGTCAAAGTTTAAAAAATTAGCCAGTTAGGCGAAAAGACATGGTCAGCTTGTAACCTGTTTGCTATAATTCACTAAGTAACCACTTCTCTGCACTGCGTTCTGTCTGAACCACATGACTTCAGTCTGTTTTCCATCCAGGAAGAAGACTCCTAACAGAGCTCTCCATGCTCATGTGAGCTCAGCAGTGTTTCCTCAACAAACACAACATGATCTTTCTGTGCTGTGGTTTCTCTCACCACTTTTCATCGCCTCTGTCAACATGCTTTGCACCACTACATTTTGAAAACGGACACGACGACTCGAGTGTACACTTAAGTCGATTGTGATTTATTTTCGCTATGCTTCTTTACATGTACATCCGCTTTAGTAGATTGAGGTCAGAATGAATAAAGGTCAACAGAGATCATATTTATTTTTTCTGGAATAGTTTAACTCTCAATCAGAGTTGAATGTGTCAGTATTCAACCTCTTGATTCTTTGTGATGGTGCCAGAAGATTTGAGGGAAGTCGTTTGTCAAAAGAACAGATTGTCTACAATTAAGTCAGGCACACAGCTGACTTTTCTCCATAGTGATGTCAGGCAGTACATATAAACGTATATATAGTATAATAAATAGGGCATACTTTGATAAACTGCAGAGGGCAATTTTAAAAGGAACTTTGATTTTGTGATTATTTTGGCTGTCCCTGTGGACAAAAGCAGTGGTGTTTCTGTGCACCAGTCCCCTTTTAGAAAAACTGATACTGAAGCAGGGTGTGACAGTCTGCCCAGTTCAGTAGTTCTGGTTCTCCTGCGCCTCCCTTCCCTCCAGCGGGCCCAGCATCTTCGCGATGATGGTCTCGTTCATTTATGTAGGGGCATCGCTATTACATTGACACCGGTTCTTAAACATCACCTATAAATTGCGTGTTTACTGACCGAGAGTGGTTTAACAACTCATCTTGCTGAAGTGTTGCAGAGGTGTACTGCAGGGTGTGTCAGTGCACCGTGACATCGTTAGAGAGCGTGATTACAGGTGCAACAGACCGAACCAGCAGTGATGCTGGTTGTTGCATTATTTTCAGTCAGTGGATGTAAAGTCAACCAGAGTTATAGTATAAAGAGTAGAGTATACATTTTGTTCAAATCTGTTAAAAAGCAGTTGAGATATTGTGATGACTTCAAAATCCAAACAAGCCAGACAGAAAAGAAGAAAGAGCAGTAAAGTGATCTTAATCCAAGAGCCACTTTAATACAAATGTTAAGGGCAAAATATTGTGGCAGCACAATATGGCAAAGAAAGGCACATCCGCTATTTCCATAAGGCCTAAATGTCATTTCAATCTGGCTTAAAGCTTCATCTAGCACAAGAAATGAATCCTAAATGCTCAAAACAAATGAAACCAAATACACAACATGAACTAGCATATTATTATCGTAATATATAACAGCTTTCATTTTTATATAAAATAAAATAAAAAAAGAATCCAAATTCAATTCACTTTAGTCAGTTTGCTTCATGATAGAACACACACACACACACACACACACACACACACACACACACACACACA